CCTACACAACATGGGACTTCTCAAAACAATTTTTTTTTAAGTCCCACTATTAAAAATAAATCTTTACCCAAAGTAGGCATAGACAGAATGCATAGTGTCTTTTTAGATATACAGGAATATACACTCTCCATATGAAGAGCAAGCCTATTCCCTACAGTGAAGCAAAGCTGATAAGTACATAACTTTCATGAATGCAATGAAGGAGCCAGTCCTCTGAGCCAGCCTCAAAATGAGCACCCTTTTGAGATGTCTAATCCTTTCTGCAGTTAACTTATTAGGATAACTAGGAATTAGCAGCACCAATCAAAATAATTTATATTATTTTACAATCATTGCATATAGTGATATCTTATCCCAACTCCTGACACTATTGCCCTTCTTATATGAAGGTGTTATGACTAAATAATACATCATGTTTGAAACCCTACCCAGTCATTTCATTCTGCATAAAGCTATTAAAAAAGAGCCGCAATAAAACACAGCACCAACATTTTCTCCAGAGCCCAGTACATTTGGTATCTGTAAGTAAAATGTTTTATAGAAAGTTATGATGGCAACAATATATTTTTATAAAGATTAATTATATTTTTTTTAAAGTTAGTATGACAATTACATTAAAATTGGAGAAAAAACAATGTTAATCTTACTAAAATGTTGGATGATGATTTTAGTACATCCCTTCAAAGAGGAGCTCTTTCTTCACAGGAAGTAACACTTCTAAGTGTTAACTCAAAGTATTTTCATTAATTTTTCAACATAAAATTCCCCAAAATAAAGAGTGACACAGATCACAAATGCTGCTTGAAATAAAGAACACAGAGCCTCTTTTGTTCTTTAAATTAATATAATTATACTTCATGAGGTATTTCTTGTACACAGAAGATAAAACTTGTTAAGTCATAACCACTGCAGTTTTCTCAATAAGAAATTCCGTCAAATTGTCTTTATTGCCTAATATAACAGGATGACAAGACAAGTGGATAAAGGAAATAGAGTATACATTCCATACATTAGTTTAAGGGTTTTGATAGAGGCCATTCACAATCCTGAGAAATATGATTAAGAGGAAATCTTTGTAAACCAGGTGTTCAACTCATGGGGAGAAAGAGCATCAGCAAAGATCAGTTATTGAACTGAAAGTTTGTATCAAGTAGAATTGGGCATAAGGTATTAAATCTACCATGAGGTATTAAGGATTTTAAGACCAGGTTGGCTGAAGAAAAATAAGCTCAAGAAGTTTGCAGATGTTGGCAAATCTGAAGTTGCAACTATTCTGGAAGATGTTTGAGATTAGAAACAAGTCTGAAGTTGTAAATCCCTAAGAAGTGGGAGCAAGCTGGAGCATAGGAGGTTCAACCTGAACATAAGGAAAAACTTTTTTTACTGTAAGGGTGACAGAGCACTGGAACAGGCTGCCCAGAGAGGTTGCAGAGTCTCCTTCTCTGGAGACATTCAAGAGATCTGTTTCTGTGTGACCCAGTCTGGGTGATCCTGCTCTGGCAGGGGGGTTGGACTGGATGATCTTTCAAGGTCTCTTCCAACTCCTAATATTCTGTGATTCTGTGAAATGGAAATAATTAACTGAACAGCAATGAGACAGAGAAGAATCAGACAGCCACCGGTTCTTTCAAAGCCTATTAAGGTTTCAGTTGATGACAAAAAAAAAGAAAAATATTTTAAAAGTCTCAGTCACCACTGCCATACCATTGTAGAAAAAAAATTTCCATAATAAACATCACTACCATTTCTCATGCTTGAAATCTCATCCTCCCATGGTACAGACGCCATGTCCAGCTTATGAGAACGGACTGTGTTTCAGGGGACAGGAGGAGAGCTCAGAGCAAAGGCATAACAGCAACCAGAGCACAGGGAATCATCCCCTCAGAGAGTGAACAGCAGTACTGAAGACTGGGTTAGATGGAAAAATGAGTAAGGGTAGCTCAAAGCAGGCCATTATGACCCAGATCTTGAGAGACATTTTGTGTTGCTGAAATAATGTGTGGTTAATCAGCATGATAAGGTTTCTTGTCCCTTTTTTTTTTTTTAAGACTAGTTCCTGGCCAACCATGCTGCCACATGACTTTTTCCTCACAAAAGCCTGTTCCCTGCTCATTCATTTCATTTTCACCTTCTTCGTTGTTTCCCATTCTGCTACTCCAAACTGACTGCATCCTGACTGTATGCTGTGCTTCAGCGCTCAGCGTGCCTGACTTCCACCGAACGGCCAGAGTGCACTAAAAGGTTAAAGCAGCAGCATAAGGGAGTCCACCCCAGTTGCCAATCGTCATTTTTCCCCTTCCTAATGTCTAAATAACAAATGAAACAACCAATGAAAATTAAGCAAACACCTATGATGGGATTTCAGGGTACTACAATAACATTCACATAATAATCCATGCCTAAATATCATGCATTATTTTTTTAAAACTAAAATCTAGTAAACCTAACATCTTATTCAGATTGTCTCTTTTAGTATGTGTTACACAATGAAAATATTTACTCCTTAAACTTATACCTGGACAACATAATAATGCTTTTAGGGAACAGTATGCTACTGCTGCTTTCTTGTATTGAATTCTCTTAGCTTGTGTTACTGTACCTAAGTATCTTCCTTCAGAGAAATTATGTCTGACCTCCCAGTGCTCTTTGCTAACAGTCACATGTATATACATATGTAAAAAAAAAAAAAGTCATTACAGTGAAAACAAAATTTGCCTTCTACATAAAGCCCTAAAATTTGTCTTTCTGTCAATTCACAAAACATCCTAAATACTAATGGTTACCATTTTCCTCTTCCTTGTAACCCTCCACAGCTTACAGTTTAAGTTGTAAAAATATACTTCAGCCATACAGACTTCTACAGAAGCTGATCCGATCACTTTGAAGCTTTACGTCTCCCCTGAATAACACAAACAAAACAACGTGTCCCCGATGCCTCGTAAACCGAATACTTTCAGGATTATTTTCCTGGCCCCGTGTCATCTGGTCTGTGCTAATTCATGGAGCGCAACCAGGAAACATTCAGCAGAGCGCAAGGCTGCATGGGCCAAGAACGTGCCAGGGAGTGTGCTGGCGATTGAGCAGTTGGATGTCCTCGAGAGGCACATTCTAGCGCATGGGCACAGTCTGAGTCCCACAGCACCACTGGTGGCCCTGGGTCAGCAAACGGGGTGCACATACCCAGCTGCTTGGCAGGCTTCCTGTGCGCCATTGTGTGAATGAGGTTTCATGTACATCGTTAAGATCTAGATGTACGGTGCGTCAGTAAACACCATATTCATATGCTTTATGTTCTGTGACAAAGAAAATGAGAGCCGTGCTACGGACACTTTTTGTCTGGACAAAAACAAACTCTGTTCCTGATAAATTCTATATTTGAACTGTGTCCATTAGCTTCCCCTCCTTATAGACTGCCCATTCTTAACAACAGTAAACGAATAATATTTCCAATTCAGCATTGAAAATTGACTTTTAACAATACCTTTATCTAATTAAACACAGCAAAAACTTCTAAATATATAAATTTTAAAAAACCTTATGCAGCTGTTACTGTCGCATTCACAGTAACAAAAACTGTTAACACATCCTGATGAGGCAAGGCAACATTTGGGCATATAAATTCATTGCAAATTTACAAAATAGTACCTTATAAAAGAAATAAAGCAATAAATACTAAAAAGCATTAATAAATATTTGGAATATTAAAAGCACACAGGATACACAGCAAATAATATAGCTTTCAAATACATTGACCTTAAATATCAAACTACTTACAAGAAAAGTCAATTAAAGAAGTTTCATATTATTCTGATTGAAATAAAAGAATCGCTTTTAGAGAAAGGACTGCTTTCACTCAGCACAAACCATGCACTGAAATGAAATGTGTTACTTTTGTATTAAAAATCCTTTAAGTGTAGTTTTCCTTTACTCCTTTGTTGTTTAATTATTGCAAATCAACATACAGGGAGGAGAGTTAAAGCTTTTATATTTCATTAATTCTATAAAAGATTAGACTTGAGTGTACTTTAATAATCTTAATTCAGATTCTTTTTTATATATTTTTCACTTTTAAAGATTCTGTTGCTTCATCAAACTAAGAAAAATCATGAATGGTTCTAAACCAAACTGATTTAAAGTAGGGCTACCAAGACAGCATCATGTACCCCTGTCATGCACCTCAGAAGGTATCCACCTGCAGATCAAGTCGTAGATACTCGTCATCAAAACAAGCCACCCTCAGCCATCGCCCCACTGATGATGTCAAGCAATAAGTGTGCACTAATCAGCAAAATGGCTTACCATGTTTTTAATTTTAATTTGTGTCAGAAAAAAATATCAGGACACAAAAACATTTTTATTAAAGATCTTAATATAATAAGGAACACCATGTTATGCTTACACTTACACTTATAAAATTTGCTCTAGAGAACTATTTTCCAGCCTACCACTTTGAGATATAATAGATTATGAATCACATTCATATCTTCATGGTAAGAAATACTACATGAAAATCAGACTGAAACAAACAGACAGAAAGAATTCCAAAAAAGTATGACTTCCAAGTTTCTTCCAGAAGACAGTTTC